TTTTTTTAGATAGGGTTTTGCTCTGTTGCCCGGGGTGGGATGCAGTGGTGCAATCTCAGCTGAATGAAAACTCCACCTCCTGGGTTCAAGCAATTCTCCTGCTTCAGCCTCTCAAGCAGCTGGGATTACAAGTGTGTGCCATGGTACCTGGCTAATTTTTGTATTTTTAGTAGAGACAGGGTTTCATCATTGTGGCCAGGCTGGTCTTGAACTCCTGACCTTGTGGTCCACACATCTTGGCCTCCCAATGTGCTGGGGTAACAGGCGTGAGCCACCACGCCCAGATAAAAATTTTTCATCAGAGCTAAGATGTACAGAAGTGTAACTTTATTTCTCTACAATTGAATATATCTTACATTTTAATTTCCAGTGTTGCCAAAAAACTTAAGCTCATCAATTCAAAACAACGGAGTCACAGATTTAAATTTGATTGATTCAAGACTCTTCCCACTCTTCTTCCGTGTGATCCATAGTAAATTAAGTTTCAGAGGGATTACATAAAACTATTATATCATTGAATGTAGCATCTAGTCTAAGACTGTTTTCTGTTCACATGGCCTCAGGCATGACTTCTGTCATTGGTTTCATTAATTATGTGCTGGTCTGCACTGCCCATCACCATGGACCTGCCAGGGCACCAGGCAGTGAAGTCCATGTTGTCCATGCTCTTCTTGGATCAACTCCAGATACCTAGGAATCCCTTACGTCATGTTCATCAGGTTCTTGGCACAATGGTATATAGTAACTTTGTGGGTATTTCCCAGCTCTGCGCAGGGTGCTCACTCAGGTGTTTCTCTCACAACACAGCTTTTATCCATTGCTTCTTTCCTACTCAAGTGCGAGATTGGATATTTATCCCTGATCTGCGCCTGCACTGGACATCAAAGCATAAGACCCTCTCAGCCCTGGGGAGAGCTTTTTCCCTCTGGAGCTCTGTTCATTGCTCACCCGCATCACAACATTAACTCAAGTCAAATCTCTTCCCAAAACCGTTTTCTTCCATCGGGCTGATGGTTTCCTTCCTGGTTTTGATTCTTGATATGCAAAACCAAGTTTTTATACATTTGTTTCTTTCCTCTCCATGGGCCAGTCTCTGTCCCTTCCCCTATAAGCTACAATTCTGCATCATTTAATGTGAATTTCCTGTGTTTTTCATTTTGCAAATTTGCATTTGTATATGTGCATTCAGTGTCAATCTCATAAATGGTTTTATGTTCTTTATCTTATTCAGTATTAATGTTTTCATTCATCCCTGTGCTTTTAAACATTGTCCATGTTTTTATGTACACATCTAATCTCATTTTTCTGATTGCTGCATACTGTGTAAGTGGGCTTCATTATGTTACCTATGTATTGTTCAGTTGTTCCAGCTATGACTAAGAAATATCCCTTCATTTATTCAAATCTTCTAAGTCCTTTACATTTCAATCCTTTCCCATAGAGCTCTTTTTATTCTTGATTAAGCTAATTTCTAAAGCTTTCATGCTTTTGTTGCTATTGCATCTTATATTTTTATTACATTTTCTAGTTGACTATTGCTCATATAGAAGAATGCTGTTTTTATATGCTTTATTGCTATCTATATATATTCTTTGGTTATGTGTCTCTGCACATACCTTACCTAATTTGTAATTGGGTTATTTTCTTATTATTGGGTTTGAGAGGTCTTTATACAGGCATGCCTCAGAGATATTGTGGGTTCAGTTTCAGACCACTGTAATAAAATGAATAGCTCAATAAACTGTGTCACACAAATTCATTGATTTCCCAGTGTGTATAAAAGTTATGTTTGGCTGATGCACTGGCTCAAGCCTATAATCCCAACATTTTGGGAGGTCGAGGTGGGAGGAGTTCTTCAGTTCAGGAATTCGAGACCAGACTGGGCAACATGGTGATACCCTATATCTACAAAAAATACAAAATTAGCTGGGCATGGTAGTACACACTTGTAGTCCCAGCACTTGGGTGGCTGAAGTAAGAGAATTGTTTCAACTGGAGAGGTGGAAGTTGCAGTGAAAATAGTGCCACTGCACTCCAGCCTGGGTGACAGAGTGAAACCCTGTGTCCAAAAAAAAAATATGCTGGGCTTGGTGGCTCACACCTGTAATCCCAGCACTTTGGGAGGCCAAGGTGGGTGGATTAGGATGTCAGGACTTCGAGACCAGCCTGGTCAACATGGTGAAACCCCATCTCTACTAAAAGTACAAAAATTAGCTGGGCATGATGGCAGGTGCCTGTAATCCCAGCTACTTGGGAGGCTGAGGCAGGAGAATCATTTTAACCCAGGAGGCAGAGGTTGCAGTGAGCCGAGATTGCGCCATTGCATTCCAGTCTAGGCGACAAGTCAAGACTCCATCTAAAAAAAAAAAAAAAAATTATGTTTACACTATACAGTAGTCTATTAAGCATGTACTAGCATCACGTCTTGGAAGTATTAATACATAATTTTAAAATATTTTATGGCTAAAAATACTAGCAATCATCTAAGGCTTCAATGATTATAATATTTTTTCTGGTGGAGGGCCTTGCCTCAATGTTGATGGCTGCTCACTGATCAGGTTGAAGGTTGTTGAAGGTTGGGGTGGCTGTGGCAATTTCTTAGGACAAGGATGAAGTTTGCTTCAGTGACTGATTCTTCCTTTCACAAAAGATTTTTCTGTAGCATGTGATGATGCTTGATATCATTTTGCCCAAAGTAGAACTTCTTTGAAAATTGGGATCAATCCTCTAAAACCTTACCTCTGCCTTATGAACTAAGATTATGTAATATCCTAAATACTTTATTGTCATTTCAACAATGTTCATAGCATCTTCACCAACAGTAGATTCCATCTCAAAAATCACTGCCTTTGCTCACCCAAAGGGACAACTTCTTATCTGTTCAAGTTTTATTGTAAGATTGCAGCAATTCAGTCACATCTTCAGGCTGCCCTTTTAATTCTGATTCTTTTGCTATTTCCATGACATCTGCAGTTACTTGCTCTACTAAAGTCTTCAATCCCTTAAAGTTATCCTTGAGGTGGATTCCTCCTTCCTCCAAACTCCTGTAAATCTTGGTATTTTTACCACCTCCCATGAATCACAAATGTTCTTAATGGCATATGGAATGGTGAATCCTTTCTAGAAGTTTTTCAGTTTACTTTGCCCAGATGGCTCATAGGAATCACTATGGAAGCTATAGCCTTACAAAATTTATTTCTTAAATAATAAGACTTGAAAGTTGAAATTACTCCTTAATCTATGGGTTGCAGAATGGATGTTGGGTTAGTAGGCATGAAAACATTAATCTCCTTGTACACCTCTAGCAGAGCTCTTGAGCAACTAGATTCAGTGTCAGTGAGTAATAATATTTCAAACACAATCTTTTTTCTAGCATTGGGCCTCAACAGTGCACTTAAAATATTTAGTAACCTATGTTGTAAACAGATGCACCTTCATGTGAGCTTGTTCTTTATTTATAGAGTACAGACAGGGTTGACATAGCATAATTCTTAAG